TCTGCAGCCGTCTCTGTCCTTGTCCTGTCTGCAGCCGTCTCTGTCCGTGTCCTCTCTGCAGCCGTCTCTGTCCTTGTCCTGTCTGATTCTTTTTGTTATCATGTCTTATCTTCCGGAGCGACGTGCCGCTCCGTACGTTGCGTCTTGAAGTCCTGGGTTGTTCCGGTCGTCCAACATGTTTAGTTTACGTTGGATCCGTCTTCCTGGTGGTGCAGGACTCTCAGGGACTAGAAGACAGACGTCTGAGTCTTTTTCCTGTTTAATTTGGACGCCTCTGTCAGCTGCTGCCAAACACCGGAGGTTTGTTCTATTGTTGCCTGTGTGTTTCTCTGTTAGCAAAATATCTTGTGAACCACCTGACGGGTCTTAACGAACCTTTCAGAAAGTATTGGATGAAGAAGCACAACTCTAACATGTCCAATCCAAGATGGCCTCCACAGCTAATCAACCATAACCAACACAGAAGGCTACAATGTCAGATTTACAGCTAATGAGCTCAGATTGGGCTGGTAGTAGCTGAGAGTCATCCTAACAGGGCGTGAGTGGTTGCAGTTCTGATGAAGAGCAATGGATGGTACTTTCTTACACGATGTGGTTCAGGTCCCGTGAACCGCCGTCAGACCGCTGAGCAGCAGAACCGCAGCTCGTTGTCCAACCCAAAGCTGCAGAGGCAGAAACTGTCGGCTGATGCATTCCTGACAAATTAAATCTCCAAACGTCATGCGGATTCTCGCACGTCACACAGGAAACAAAGTAACCGACCTCGTGAAAATCTGCTGCTGTTCCACATTTTGTGCAACTGATGCTGCTTCTGTCACTTTTTAATAAATAAAATCTTCACTCATTTCCAAGTGTTGCATCAGTTTTTGGTGTGGCCTGCAGGGGGCAGCATTTAGACTTTTATTGTGAGGTGTGTGATCATTTTACTTTGGAAAAAATATGAACTTTGTTGGACAGTTGTGGCTGTTATAGTTTGTGGACCACACATGAAACAGCTAAATATTAATATTTTATTACTTTTTTACTATACATTAGTCTAAATATAAATTAATGAACGTTACATGTCATTTCTGAAGGTCGGCTGATGTAGATACTATACAACTTTTTTTACTGTTTGTAAAGTTAAAATATCACTGAAGAGAATTAATGAAACTCAAATTAATTTGATTTTACATCCACAACCAGGTCAACAGGAAACAAAATGGCTGCCACAGCCAACTGACCTTAGAAAACATCTGTTATAAACTCAGCTAATTTTACAGATGTTGAGCTAAAATGTAACCTGGTGGCAGCTGAGCGTTGAAACTAACATACTTTGAGTGTAACGTTTTGCACAACTTCAATTCTGTTAGCAAAATATCTCGAGCCACTGGACCAAATGGAGTTCAATCTAATTAAAAAAAAAATTAATCTGTATATTTGTGGGTTGAACTTCAACTTGTTACCGAAACGTTCAGATAATCACAGCCAATGCGTTTTGGCTTTTGTTGAATTATTTAATGTTGTTTACATTTATTTAGTTAGAAACACATTAAAGCTTATGTGACTCTTTTAAAACTATGGTTCTTGAAATCGACTTCAGCACTGTGGCTTCATTTTTAGCTTGGGTTTTGCTGCGTTTAGCTGTCTATCACCTTTTTTTGCTGTTTTGCTCATTTTAAATTTAGCTATTGTTCTGCTAGTTTTATTATTTTCTGTTTTGCTGGTCTTTGTTGTTAAAAACTTGTCCTGACTCGTGCTCAGTAATCCAGGGAGAAAAATTCAACAAAGTTCAGTCGAGTCCTCTGGACGGTTTCCTTGTGTTGGAACGTTTCGTCTTTCATCCAAAGGACTTCATCAGTGCGAGGAGCCACAACAAACTCAGTCTTGTAAATAGCACCTTCACCAGTTTGATGGAGCTCAGATGGTTTCTGGAGTCCGCCCTCTCCCCCGCAGACTCGTTTGAGGCAGCCATGGCCAGAGTGGATCAAACATCCTGATTCATGCTCAGTAGTGTTAGTGTATAGCTATATGCTAATAGCCCAATAGTGATATTTATAAGACTGAGTTTGTTGTGGCTCCTTGGACTGATGAAGTCCTTTGGATGAAACGTTCCAACACAAAGAAACCGTCCAGAGGACCTGACTGAACGTTGTTGGATCCCAGAGACTTCCTTGTGGGTGAGGTTTGAGTGAATTGTCCCTTTAAGTGGACCACGTTGTGTGGACAGTCCAGTCCGGCCCTCTGGAGGCTGACCCTGCACTCAGGACCATGGTGCAACCAGAAGAAGTCTGTCAGTCTCCTCAGTGCTGATCTCCTGCTGACATCACAAGCTGGTGAGTTCATTTTTATCAGAATGTCTCAATAATCTGCTGCTCATCAAATCCCACATTTAATCTCCACATTTGTTCTTTTTGTCCAACTGGATCAGTAACTCAGTTCATTCTCGTAAATACTTTGAAGCGTTGCCCAGCTGTAACGATCCGTGCACGTTGAGTAATGGTTGTGTCATTTGGTAATCGAGGAACTTCAGGCGGTCTCATTTTTACAGAACTACTTTGTCAGTTTGTCCAGTTTTGTTTTCTGCTTTCCTCTTCCTCTCTCTACTACTGCTTTTGTTTTCACGGCGAGGACCGGGTTTGTCGTGCGAGCGTACAGAACGCCACATGGTCCAAAATCTGCCCCCACTCCAAGGATTCGTGCAGAGTGTGTTCGTGAGTTTACCCAAAACTCTCATGAACCACCGGAGAAACTTAGAGAACTCATCGTGGGATGGACGTCTGCAGCGTCACCTTTTGTATTCCACAACTGTTTACATGGAAATCTTGTTTTTGTTGTTGTTGTTTTTGTCATTTCCAGCAGAGTAATCTATAACTCTGCACGGCCTGGGTCGGTTCCAACAGGAACTAAAAAAGGCGTTTTCAGACCAAACGGTAAAAGGAACTGTCTGTGTTGGTTTCATTATGAGCAGTTTTGCACCTACAGGATTGTTGTTGCCCATTCAGGGAGATGCTGTGATTGTGCAACTCTCGGCCGATGCTCAGTGTGTTGCGTCACTTTTTCATGGTACGTTTACCATCAAGAGCGACGACAGGAGGCTTCGTGGTTGGAGCTGCGTGTCGCGTTTCTTTGGTTTAGTTTTAAATGCAGAGTTTGAAAGAGCACTAAATGTTCCGAAGGAGTTCTGCGGACCATAACTCCTGCAACATCAGTCTATACGTTGAGTTGTGCACATTCAAAGGAGAGCGGTGACAGTTAAAGGTGTTTACTGCAAACTCACGAAGACAGGAAAAACTGCACACGTCCATCTCCATCATCTGCCTCTTATCAGGTCGTGGAGGCAACAGGTGTGGGAGAGAAACCCAGACCTCCCTCTCCCCAGAGACGCTCTCCAGCTCCTCCAGGGGGACCCCGAGATGTTCCCAGGTCAGAGAAGATACACAATCTCTCCAGGGAGTTCTGGGTCTGCCCCGGGGCGTCTTCCCATGGGGACCTGGAAAACCTCTAAAGCAGAAGTGTCAAACTCACTCATAAAAGGGTCCAAAATTAAAACCTTTTCCAAACTAAGGGCCGGTTTCAGAATCTACATGAACTCAAGTCAGATCCCAAACATCTTTTCTTGGTTGCAGGTTCCTCAACAAGAGTTTGGTCTCATTTGACGTTCTCTGTTGCACTTTTGACATCATAATCAAAGATTACTGAAAAAAATTAAGTGATAAAAGTATTTTACATTTAAAATAACACATTGGGGGCCAGATAAGATGTCACCGAGGACCACATGTGGCCCCCGGGCCTTGAGTTCGACACGTGGTCTAAAGGGAGGCATCAGAAGATGAACCACCTCATCCGACTCCTTTTAGTGCAGAGGAGCAGAGCTCCCTCTGGATGATGATGCTCCTCCTCACCTCATCTTTAAGGCTGAGCCCAACCAACCTACAAAGGAAGTCCACGTTGGCTGCTTGAATCCAGGATCTTGTTCTGTCAGTCCTGATCCAGACCTCATGACCTCGGGTTGTTATGGTCTGTATGTCTGTGCAACAACCAGATGATTTTAATAAACACGATCAAATGAATGAAAAAGGGATTTGGGAGTCCCAGTAACAAGCCGTTGACCATCAGATTCTGGCCGCTCCACTCACCCTGTAAACCAGGAAACTAACAACCAAAATCCAGAAAACGACTGCTGGTACCTCCCAGACGCAGCTGACAGTCACTGACCATGTGCAACTCTGGCGTCTGTAATGAGGAAAGGAGTGGGAGCGAGCTCAGAGATGGAGTGGAACCAACAACCTTCAGGCATCAGACCAGCGCCTCCGGCCTCTTCTTCTCTGACCATCTCGTCTGGTAGGCGGAGCTTATTCTGCTTAATGTCCCACCAGCCAATCAGAACTGAAAAGAGAACACATCAATCAAGCAGACACTTTTTACCAGAAAAGTTACACAAGAGTCTGTAACACAAAGGAGAAGGTTGGAACATGACAAAAAAATTAATTATTATTTTTATGATATTCAGTTATTTTTGTTCATGAAACCCAATGAATCCAATCAGTTACTTAGACTATAAACATGTCTTAAAGACATAAAATCCTGGATGACCCTAAATATTCTGCTTTTAAACTCAGATAAGACTGAGGTCCTGAGCATCTTAGAAATAAACTTTACAGCCTTTCTCTTCCTCTGGACGGCACTGATTTGTCCTCAAGCTCTAATGTAAAAAAAACCTTGGTGTTATTTTTGATCATGTTTTTAATCCCCACTTTTTATTTATTTATTTACCTTTATTTATACAGGTAGTCTCATTGAGTTATAGAACTCATTTTCAAGAGAGACCTGTTTGGGAGCAGATGGTGGGGGTTAAGGGTCTTGCTCAGGGGCCCAGGGTGGAGGCAGGTGATGGTGCTTCACCAATCCCACCCACATTTTGATGTTGACGGTACCGGGAGTTGAACCTGCGACTTTCCGATCACAGACTCATCTTCTCTAGCCTCTGCACCACTTCCCCCAATTAAAAAAATTAAACATTAAAAAAAGTTATACATTTGAAATGGGTCCATAAATATGAAATATGGTTTAATGTGGGTGGTGTTGGAGGCTGTAGGAAAGAAACCCATGAATAGAGACCGTTAAACATATTGTGTGCAAACTAATATGAGACAAATTGCTCTGTTTGTAAATAACCGTGGTATTTATAGTGTTTGATTAACACTTTGTTTTTTTATTTTTGTCAACCACATCACATTAGTGACCACAGAAACAAGGAAATGTATCCGATCCATCAAACTGGGAGAGTTTTACTCAGAAACGCCTACAGAGTGGTGAGTCAGATAAATCCGCCTCTGCTCCTCAGCTCTGCTCTTCCCACTCACACCTGTTCCCTGTTGTCATTTTGCCCAG